CTGATCGCCTGCAGCTCAAACAATCACCTTTATCATTTTGATTTGCTGGGAACCTCACAGAAAGAGAACTTGAATGTGCCCATTTGGAATCTTTCCTCCCTAACTACAGTTTAAGGAGGAATAGTCAACCTTCCAGCATGGTTCAAATTAGTTCCCATCCATTTTACCCACCACCACCTTTGATGAGAACTAATTAAGCTCATGTGGTGTTTTTTTAAATCCCCAGACTGTCTTTTGCTGCTCTGGAACAGAGCACATGAAATTAGGCCCATCTGTCTAAACAGGAAGGAGGCCACTTATCCCACTGACAGACAGGCTTCTTTTCCTACTAAGAAGCTGACTTAGGAGGGTCTCGGAGACCAGGTGGCGATTATGGAACCCCAGATCTACACAAGCTAGTGTTCTGAGAAGAGCAGTTTAGTGCTGTGTCAACCATCATCTACTAATTCTCACCCATCATCTCCTCACACAGTGAAATGTCCCAGAGACCATATATCATGCTGTGAGACTATCATTCATTCCAAGTCAGAATGACAACAATCAAGAATTAAGGACTAGGGATAGAGCTCAGTGGTTCAACACTTGCCTAGCATGTACCAAGGTCCTGGTTTGGTCTCCAGCTCTGCGAAAATATGCATAAATAAATAGATAAATAAATAAATAAATAAATAAATAAATAAATAAATAAATAAATAAATAAATAATAAAAATGCAGAACTGGGGATGCAGCTGATTTGGTAGAGTGCTTGCCTAGTACACACAAAGTCCTGGGTTCCATCGCCAGCAGTACATGATCTTGACACAGTGATACATGCATGTAATCTCAGCAGGAGACATCAGAAATTCAAGATCACTTCTCACTAGAAAGTAAGTTCAAGGCCATCTTGGGATATAATAGAACCTGTCTCAAACAATAAAATAACATAAAATAGGGTGGCAAAATAGCTTGGCAGGCAAAGGTACTTGCCACCAAGCCTGGTGACCCAAATTCAATCCTGGTGATTTATATGATAGAAGAAGATTACTGACTCCACGAGTTGTCTTCTGACCTCCACAGGCATGCCATGGTGTGCATGCAAGTACAAACACGCACACACACACATACACAAATACATAGATAGATAGATAGATAGATAGATAGATAGATAGATAGATAGATAGATAGACAGACAGATAGATCGGAAATGTACTTAATATATGGCAGTTATGATACAATGTCACTCCTGATTCTAGGATCTATGCCTATGCACAGTTGAGGAAAGAATCTAACATGTATAAAATTCTACATGACAGGTGCAGCGGTACACTCCTGCAACCCTAGTCCTTAGGATGAGAGTGGAGGATCACCGGTCAAGGCCAGTGTGAGTTGCACAGAGAGTCTGAGGCCAAGTTGAGCTATACAAGAACTTGTCTCAAAATTAAGATATGATAAGGTTCCATACAGTACAGCAAAAGTCAGGTCAGGTCATGACAGGTCAGGTAGGGTAGGAAAGTAGACAGGGACAGGGGAGAAAGGAAGACAAAGAGAGAAGAAAGGAAGGGGGAAGGGAAAGCAAACAGGATGCCATGTGCACCACTGGGTGGTAACAGCCCTCTTCATTTATCGGAGTTACTTCAGTGAAACCCAGCTGCTGCGTCCCTTCTAGAACAGAAATTCTTTTATGAAACAGGAAAAACTATTAATATAAAAAAATCTGTTCTTAATTAGTTCTAAATTAGTTATCTTTCATTTTTTTGTGTTCTGACCTGAAGTAAATTTACAGAACTTTTTTGTAAAGGATAATAAGGCTGGATGTGGTAGCTCATGCCTCTAATTGCAGCAATCAGGAGGCCAAGGCAGGAGGATTCAGAGTTCAAGGCTAGACTAGACAACATGACGAGACCCTAGCTCAAAAAGAATAAAGATCAGCCACACGTGGTTGCACATGCCTTTTAATTTCAGGTTTCGGGAGGCAGAGATAGGTGATCTATGTGAGTTCGAGGCCAGATTGGTCTATACAGTGAGTTCTAGACCAGCCGGGCTACATAGTGAAATCCTATCAAGAAGGAAAGGGGGGGGGAGGGAGGGAAGGAAGGAAGGAAGGAAGGAAGGAAGGAAGGAAGGAAGGAAGGAAGGAAGGAAGGAAGGAAGGAAATCTTCACGGCTAGAAAGATGCCTCAGTAGTTAAGAGCACAGACTATTCTTCCAGAGGACCCAAGTTCAACTCCCAGCAGTCATGCCGAATAGTTTACAACTGTCTGTGACTCCAGCTCCTGGGGGGATTCAACACCTCTAGCTTCCTTGGGCACATACCACTCACACATACATATATACATAATTAAAAATAAATTTTTAAAATTTTGTATATTAAACTGACTTCTAATGACTTATTGTAATACCGACAGATTAATGCATTTCTCAGATCTCAATAGAGAAGCATCCTTCTACAGCAGACAGTGATTAACACAGAGAACCCCTAACTGGCCATTGTGCAGAGACTAAGAGGATGCAGACTGCTCATCCCTGAATAGGACATCCATATCAAACTTCTGCCTCCCAAGGCTCAGATGATCATTGCAGAAGAGGGGGCAGAAAGGTTTTAAGAGCCAGGGGAGGCAAATAATCATGGGGAATTAGAGTTTTCCAGATGGCTGGTCAGTTCCTCTGCTGAACTCACAGCAATAGTGACAGCATGCACAAGTCCCACTAGAGCTCAAGCCAGCATAGACATGGGGAAGTGGGCAAGAAAAAAAAATTCCAGCATAGATGTGGGGAAGTGGGGAAGAAACCCCAACCCTGAGGAACTACTGGAAACTGATGGCTGCTGGGAAGGGGAGAGTCAGTCTCATTTAAGGGTGAGACTAACAGGTGTAACAGGCTCCAGTGGATGAACCCATACTGAAGGGTATTTGGGGACACAAACTTGCATATATTAGAGTACAGAAATTTGGTGGGGGTTAGTAAGAAGGGGTGCAGATATGGGAGGGGATCTAAATATGATCAAAATATATAAATATATTGCGTAACATTCATTAAAATTAAGACAATTAGTAAAAAAAATCTAAACCTACATGAAATCTAAAAAAAACCTTTTTAAATCAAATATACAAGGTTTCAATCAAATCCATAACTTCTCAAAAACTTTTAGTAGCAGAAGAATATCATTTTTCAACAACAGGTTCATGTAGTCCCCTAAGATATGAGGGTCCAAAAGGAGTTGTTTGGGACTAGAGCTATGGTTCAGCTGTAAAGTGATTGCTTAGCACATACAAAGCCTGCGTTCCATCCCTAGCACTGCATAAAACCAGACACAGTGGTGCATGCCTGTAATCCCAGTACTCGAAAGGTGGAGGCAGGAGGATCAAAAGTTCATAGACATCCTTGACTATACAGTGAATCCTGAACTAATGTAGCCAGTTTGAGCTGTATTAGTGCCTGTTTAAAATAAAAATTTTAAAAGAGAGGTTCTGGGCTCAGGACTTGAAAATAACTGAGAGGTAAGGGACTGAAGTAGATCTAGTGTGGATCCAGTTTAAACTGATGGATGGGAAGTTTGGGAAAGGTACATTACAGTTAGGGTACAGCACAGACCTACCAGCACACACTTGGACTGTGGAGTATTCCTGCGCTCTTCACTCGCCATTTATCACATGTGCCCACATGCTCCACTAACTATACACACAGACCTTTACAAAGCAGCCAAATGATTTCAACATCCTCAAGTGAGAGATAGGGATAGAATCAGAAAGGTGCCTACTACAAAGAGATCTCAGTGACACAGGAGAACCGAAATAAAGTCATAAGTGAAAAAAGAAGTAATTTTAAAACATGTATACAGGAGGATTTGCTTACAGATTTTTTAATGTCCAGAAAAACACTGAAACTCACATGCTTATTGTGGGTAACATTATGGTTGACTTCTTGCTTCTTTAAAATTTATTCTACTTTTCAAAAATACAATAGAAAGAGGCTGAGGATATAGTTCACTGGCAGAGAATGTATCTAATACGTACAAGGTTCTGGGTTCAATCCTCAGATTGAAAACCAGACCAGAAGAAAAGAAACAGGAAAGAGAACAGAGAAAAGAATTTGCCTTGACACCTCTTTGAGCTTTTAGTCAACAAAAACACAGTATACACTGATCAATAATAGAAGCATCCTTTCCCCTTAAGTTAAAAAAAAACTAAACTAAAAATAAAACTCTAGCCTTTTATGGTGATTAGCACAGAAACTCACAACTGGTCAAAGGGCAGAGAATAGATGTTAGTAGAGTGCTCATACACAAATGGGACATCGGTCACACACACACACACACACACACAGAGGGCTTAGGGGGCATTGTAGAACAGTGGGCAGAAAGATTATAAGAGCCAGAGGCCAGGGAGAATCAGAGCAAAAATATCTTGTGGACATGACAGGATCACTATGCCCATGAACTCACAGCAGCTGTGGTTGTCCCCACAAGACCTGCACAAGATCAAGCTGGTCAACATTCTAGCATGAAGGGATGAAGTGGCTCAAAAGCCACCATCCCTAATAGAGAAGCCAGGGAGAGTTGATGGTTTCTGGGGGAGGCAGAGTCAGTTTTCTTTCAGGTATGACCCTTGGTAGGTAGATCATGCTCTGGTGGATGGCACCCCCCAGGAGTATATGGGCAACACAAACTAGACTCAATGGTTATATAAAAAAGGAGACATGAAGTTAAGGGGGTATGGGGAAGTGGAGATGGATCTGGAGAGAGTTAAGGGGAGGCGTAGGGGGTAGATATAATCAAAGTATGTTGTATGAAATTCTCAAAGAATTAATAAATTTTTAAATCTAGCCCTTTAATGACTACAAATGTTTAGTCATATTGCCCCCAATCAATACTCAGAACAGGGTTGGGCTTTGGGACACCTGGTTTTTCACATACACTAGCCAGCAGCCTACAGACAGAAGCTCCAGGCACAGCTAGAGGACCAGGCACATCAGTGGGACAACCCTGCTCAGCTGTACCCTTCTCCCAGCAGCCCCCACTCACCACATCCAGGTCCTGAGAAACACGCCGTTTCCGAAGTTCCTCCATCCTCTCACACACATCAGAGAAACAGGTATTGTAATAATCTGCATACTGTTGTGCCAGATCATCAATGTTTCCCAGGGAACCATCCTGAGGGGAGAAAGAGACAGAAAAGAAAGCGAGATTGTCAAGTCAGTCTACCTTGGCAAAGACCCACAGCCATCCACTACTGCCCAGCATTTGTAGTAACAATGGCTGGTATTTACTACCAGGTAGACATGGGCCAGGCTAGATTTTACTTGTGACATAGAATGCCTAGGACAGTCCTGTGAAATGGAAGTAGCTCTTTTCCTCATTATATTTATGGGTAAAGTAGCTCAGAGAACATGAGAGGCTGCTTCTAGTCCTAGGACTAATAAGGAAAGAGATCTGGTCTCCTTTTGGGCCTACTGGGACCAAAGCCACAGTAATTCACCTGTATCTACCTAATAGGGCTGAGAGAAGACACCCAGGGAAGCAAGTGCCTTTAGTAGAGTCACTGTGCATAACAGGTGAGTAACACAAAGCTTATGCAAGACTTAGATGTCACTCTTCCTCCCAGCTCCAGACTCCATGGGAGTAAGCTGTGTCCGGGCCACACTGCATCCCCTCATAGCAGACTGCCAGAAAAGTAGAAAGCCTTATTCATTAGTCATTTGTGTTTGCTAGGATTCACTAGTCATTAATATTCATATTATTCATTACATTTATTATTCACTAGACACTCCAAGTACAGGCAAAACTGCATGCATCACTAAGTTGGCTTAAATAAACAAGTAAACATGTCACTTGTCTTTTCACAGAGGCAATTTCCCTGGTAGTACTATAAGTTTACGCCCATCCCTGCTGTGGTGTGGAGCTCATTTCTCGACCTCTTGGTGACACCAGGTTAACAACAGCACCCACCATACAGTAAGCAGGAATGGAGTAGCAACTATGTGACACGCAGACTGCCTCACACACAGCAAATGTGCAACACCTACCTTGCTCTAACATTCACTACAAGATGACAATCATACTGCATTTTCCTTTAGGTGAGTGGATTACTCAGTATGTGTCTAAACACTGAGGATGATCACAATGCTGTGTGCGTTCGAGCTCTGTGTGTCTTCTATCACGTCTTCTCCTTTCTCCTGTATCTCCTGTATCCTGCTCCTTTATCTCCCACATGTCCTCCCTTCAGTGTGAATAAGTGACTTTACCGGGACAGTCAGGAAAGAACATGGAACACGGAAACCACACTTATAGATGACATAAAATTCATACCCAATTATCCACATTCCAGACTGATTCCCAGTCCCTTTGGTTATTAATGTTGTTGCATTGCCCTTAGCAACAGGTCTCTTGCTGCAAAGTAGATTTATAGGCAGTAGAGCTGGTTAGATTTCTCCCAAAGCTTTTTTGCTACAGACCTAAGCCCCAGAGGGGAGGTCTGAGCCACAACCAATGACAGTTTTTGCCTCTTCTGCATCCCTTGAATTTAGGAACTAAGGGGAGAAATAGAAACTGAAAGAAATGATTTTCTAGAAACATTCCTTCCTTTCCCATCACTAACATGCTCTGCTTTTGAGATGCCTCAGAGCTCCTAGTATTCATTGAGGGAAAGGGAGGAAGGCAAGCAAGATCTGTGGACATTTGAACATGTCTGGGCAAAAGTCATTCTCTGTCTATAAGTCAGTCAGCCTGTCTAAGAAGACAGCCTAGGCACTGCCTGAGAAATCACTTGGATGTGTCAGATCCCTGATTCCCAAAACAACAACCCCCTAGAGGATCCTGGGCTCCTGGAGGTTTCTGAGTCTCTCCACAATGTACTGCTATCCCCATCCATAAACTTCTGCCTTCATCCATCATGGAAACAACCCATTTGCCACCTTAGGCCAAATATACTATTCCCATTTCTAAGACTCAAGCTTGTTGAAGGTGCTGTATATCTCATACCTTGCCTTGCCTGCTGTTCTTGAATGGAAATCAATCATTCCCCTACACAGAAGTGTTCCAACTAGATTTCCAGCTTCTCTAAAAAATGACCACCGTTTGGTGGTGAATGTAGCTCAGCTTGCCTAGCATGCTTTCTAAAGCCTAGGTTTGATTCCAGCACCACATAAATAGGTGTAATGACTATAATCTCAGCACTCAGGAGGTGGGGGGCAGGAGGATCAGAAACTCAAGGTCACCCTCAGCTACAGCCCTAGCCTGGGATACATGAGACCCTGTCTAAAAAACAGGGGCTGGAGAGATGGCTCAGTGGTTAAGAGCACTGGTAGCTCTTGGAGAGGACCCAGGTTCGATTCCCAGCACCCACATGCCAGCTGACCCATCCATAACTCCAGTTCTAGGGGAATTAGATGCCCCCTTCTGAACTCCATGGGCATTGCATGACAGGGGTACACTTACATACATGCAGGAAATACACTCATACACATAAAATAAAAATAAAAAAATAATTTAAGGAAACAAAAAATAACTAAAAAAAAACCATATGACCAGCTTTCCCCATTTCTGAATTAAATAACCTGTTATGACTATTTTCTTGGACTAATCCAGGTCACCAAAAACATTAAAAATCTATTTATATAACTGAACTCAAACTATGTCTTCCCTCCTCTCTCATACATCCTAAGGACGACCTCAACCTTAGCTCTCCAATTATAAAGCTTCCAAAGTACTGATCAGCTTTTCTTACTAGCACAAAAGTTGAATCTTCAGCTCCATTCTCCATCACTCAAAACTCCTTGAGTAGTGCGGAGGCCTAAAAGACAGGTCTGTGCTCCTGAGGAAGCCAGCAGCTGTTCGGCTCCAATCAGGCCACAGCCAGTCAATATTTCATACCTTCAATATGGCAACAGGGCCATTCCTCACTTGTTTCTCTATGCGTAATAATTTAAAGCAGGGTGGCACAGCTGCCTTTACGTGCACCCAAATCACTTTCCAGATGTGCAGCAAGTCCCCATAATTACCACTTTCATGTGTCTGGATGATTTAAATGCCGAAATGGCAAAAGATAGTGCGGAGGCCTAAAAGACAGGTCTGTGCTCCTGAGGAAGCCAGCAGCTGTTTGGCTCCAATCAGGCCACAGCCAGTCAATATTTCACACCTTCAATATGGCAACAGGGCCATTCCTCACTTGTTTCTCTATGGGTAATAATTTAAAGCAGGGTGGCACAGCTGCCTTTACGTGCACCCAAATCACTTTCCAGATGTGCAGCAAGTCCCCATAATTACCACTTTCATGTGTCTGGATGATTTAAATGCCGAAATGGCAAAAGACTTTAAAAAGAATGTGTGTTTTAAAAGTAGGTCTTGTCTGCCATCCCCACAAAACTATCTTTTATGTCCCAATCAAATGGAGCCAAGGAGGTAC